TGCTGAAAGAGTGATTAAGTGTTAAGATAGTTTGGCTGTCACCCAAATAACATGTTGCTGCCTACTGCCAACCCAGGCACTTTTGCCAATCAATGACTTTTTAAGAATGACATGGTAACCGAGCAAACGGGGGCTCGGCCACGTGGAGACTTGACACACAACCCAACAATGAGCATCGAAGGTAACAGGTTTTTATGAACAGGGCTCCAACCCTGGGAGGCTGCGCGCAGTCCTGCTCGGAGCCCTCCTCTCCCATGAGACCCAGCACTTCCCTTGTTCCCCAAAAGGCTACGAGCCAAAGCCATGCCCAGAGGCTCCCCATTTCCTGATCTGTCTCTAAGCTGGCTGTGCAAACAGGTCTCCATCCCTCTGGAATGTGCACTGTGGTTTCAGGGTCACCATCCTCTCACAGAAGTTCTCTGCTTCAGGGTCTGGGGCTCATCGTTCTCAGCCTCCATGCAATGGTTCAGGAGAACATGGGCCATGTTACGCTAGGTCATGGTGGAGTCCAGGGAGGCACTCATCCCAAGAGAGTCGCCTCTACGTGCATCCTTCAGAGAAGCAGAAGTTAGCTCCTCTCTCACCACAGACCACATGGCTTCTCCCTCAGACACCAGGCCTCATGGCAGATGCCCGTGTCTTTCTCATTTGCTCTGCACCTCTTCTCTTCATGGTGGGGGTCTCTCCTGCACCCTTCCAGCCTGCGTGGCTTCCTCTTACACATCAGCCCTTGCAGCTGACTCCCATCTCTACATCTTCAGACCATGTGTTTTCTTCTCTTTCAGCCTCTGCCCTCATTTTAAATGCTTGGCCCGGAACTTCCTATGTGACCTCATATATGGCCCCTCCAATGATGTGCCATTTTTGCTAGTTCCCCCGTATCTTCTACCTTCTTTTGTCTGCCATTTTTAATCAGAGCAGGAGTTCCCAGTGACTTCCAGGGTGGGCATTGGCCCCCCTGACTCTTGCACAGGCTCTGTATAAGCTCCCCCGGCTGTGTCACAAGTCCCTGAATGCTCTCAGAGTCACGTAGGGTGACAGTCCCCTCTCCTTCCATAAAGGCATAGCTATTACCTTGCCATTGTTATGCAAACTATCTTAAATGCTGTACCATCCACTTCCTCCTTCCCCCAATCAAGGTTTGTGGGGGCTTTCTCTTATTTTCAGGGGAATCTTGCTCTGTACCCTGTTACCATACCAATAATAAATAAACTGGATTAAAGGCAAAACATCATTTTCCCAGATGGGTCCCATGTTGAAGGGATAGGAAGTGGAACAGGAGGACTTCAGCTTGGCTTCCAATGGGTTCCAGAATGTTCCTCGTTAGAAGGTGGGCTTTTGTCCATACTCCTCCCAGGGCATCCATTTACCATCAGTCCCAGGCTATCCGTGTAAACTTGGGTGAGTCATCGACCTCTGCCTCTTGCAGTTTCTCCACCTTGAAGAGGAGTCAGTGTCACTTAGTGCTGGGTAAGTGATGAGGTAGAAGAGAATGGAGAAGTTAGCCTGGGAGTGAAGGCAGACCCAGAAGACAGGGCTGAACATAAAGAATCCCAGACAAAAGCCCAAAGGTCTCCTGAAATGGGCTCCTTAGGGTGATTTTTTGGTGTTTGGCTCTTTACTGGATTCTTTTTATTTTCCCAGCCTGAGGACTTGGCTGCAGGTTCCTGTCCCTCCATGACTGATGCGGACACGGCGCTTTCTCCCAGTGCCTGTCATGGAAGCAAGCACATGCTTGTTTTCCTTTTCTACTGCTCAAAAAAAATCTCTTCACTGCCAGTGACTGTGGGAAAAGTGGGCATACCACAACACGAATGACAGAGGAACCACAAGTGCTAACATTTTTCTTTCAACTGCAGGTTTTAGTCATCCTTGGCCCCTTCTGAGGCATCAAAGGGGGGTAACACTCACATGGCAGTGCTACGTGGTACAGAGCCAAAGCTGAGTCACAGGAGAAAGAACTGCAATTATTCAATAATGTATATATTTTATTAAAAACACACAAATGTGCAAGAATAACTGTACCACAAAATCTTCATCGCACGTCTTGATCATCATGGAGGACACACATGGTTCCAGGCAATACTTTCTATTTGTGCATTGATTCTTTCTCCGGTTCTCGTCTACTCTCTTCAGAGACTACATATTCTTCTGTAGTTTTTCCTTGATGCACCGCCTCATTCAAGATAAACTCCTCAAATATTCTGAACCCGGGGATCTTATGTGAATTCAGTACCCACTCTCACCCCCCTGCCATCTCATGGAGTATGCTCTTTCTTACTCAATTTTTCACCAAAACAAAGAACCAACAAGAATGCAAAACACACTGCTCTGGAATGACAGGATCCTCTTTAAAGTATATGGAGGTGAAGAATCTATCTGACAAACTACAAGGCACTATTTATCCTGTATTGGAACTGGAAGAGGGAAAGTATAGAAATAATTACTTGCTCAAATATTCATGTGATCACCGAACTAGTCCTGACCTGTCCTAATGCCCGGTCTGATTCACACCCCCAACCCTTTGGGGGTCATTTGTTTTGGTCTAAAACAAAGAAGCCCAACCCTTTGGGTGGTCATTTCTCATGGAGAGTGCTCTCCCCCCTTCTTTTAATATTTAATAGTATCTCCAGGGCCCTGCCTTTTACCTGTTGCTGGGACCCAACTCCTAATGCAGACCATATAGTTCAGAATCCTGTGTCTTTCCTGCTTTTTGGAACCACAGCAGTAGTGATAATAACAATAATGGTGAGGAGGATTATAGCTAACTTGGGGCATTTTCTATGTGTAAACGTTTAACACCGATGGTCTCTTCTGGTTTCCAAGTCCTAAAGAACTGTATAAATCCTCCATTGCAGCCTAACACATTGCCACAAAACTTAGCAGCTTTTAAACAACACACACGTATCTTCTCACAGTTTCTGTGTGTTAGGAATCTGGGTATGATGTAGTTGAGTCATTGGCTTCCAGAGCTCTTAATAAAAGTGTTGCTTAGGTTACAGTCACCCCAAGGCTTCATCAAATAAGGATTTGATTCCAGTTTCAGATGCAGCTCCTCACTGGCTTGTGGACTAAGGGCCTCAAATCTGCACTGACTGTCGGCTGGAAGCTGCCCTCGGTTCCTTGTCTAATGGGCCTCTCCAATATGGCAGCTTCCTTCCTCAAAGGCTACAAACTGAGGGCAACAGAGAGAGTGCTAGTAAGACAGAAGTCACAATCTCCTATAACCTATTCTTGGAAGTGACATCCATCACTTTGTCATAGTCTATTGGTTAGAATCAAGTCACTATGTCCAGCCCATACTTAAAAAGACAGGGATCAGTGGGGTTCACCTTAGAAATCTGCCATCCTCAAGACCAATTGAGGAAGAAGGGAAAAAAGAGTTGTTTTAAGATTTCAAGGATAATATCAATTCTGTAAGAGGCAAGTAGTTCAGGGTAAGGGTTGAAGCTAATAAAGGCAGAAGTTGGGAGGTAGAATGGTGATGTTCCTTATAGCATTTTTGATCCAGCATCTTTCTGTCTCTCTCCTGCTTTATAACATGGAAGTAAAGCTGAGGAGATAGTGGGTATGAGGCTAACATTATGCATGCATTTATTGTGCAAAGAACTGCCTTTTCCACTAGGAAACTACATGGAAAATAATGGTAATAGAATCATGGGGTGGAGGAATAGAAAAGAGGAACTGCAGCTAATCTCTGGACAGGAGTGACCCAGGGACCTTCTGGGCAGCAGGGTTTTGGCAGCACCATGCATCAGATAAGAAAAAGAAAAAAAATTGGGTATGAACCAGCTCTGGGAGAGGGTGTCTACAACTACACGGTCAAGATGAAACAAACAAATTCTGGACATAAAAGAGGAGGCTGGTTCTAGAAAGATTCTTTCAGGCAACACTACATGGAGCCAAGGTGCTGGGGAGAGGACAGGGAACAGTTTTTAGCAGCATCTACCAAAAAAATTTTAGTTAGTATATTGAATCTATGTGATGAGGGGAAGAGGTTGCAGAACTTTTCAGAGCTTTTCATATGCTAGTGTGCTCTGTGAAACCCTCAGATGTGTGTGAGGGAGGCTGGGGGTTGAGTAGGCGGCATTTCTCACACCTATTTGTGTGTGTGCACGGAGGCAGTAACCTGCTACACACTCTAGGGAATGTTCTGTTATCAAATGCCTGTTGCCTTTTCTTTGAGAGCGAGAAGGGTGGGATCTGGTTTAGTTATCTCTGGTAAGGCAAGAATCATGGCCAGTGGTTGAGCAATAACTGAATATTTTTACCTAACACCTATGTGTGAAGCAGAAATGACACTAGATCTCAACATTTGGGCCTCGACAATGGGACAGATACAACACCGGAGTGAGAGCACGAGTCACCTGACCATCACCTTTCACAGCCATCTCCAGAGCACGCCCCAGATCCCCGAAGCTCTGTCTACTCAGCTCTTCTCTCCAGCACCCTCTTCCCCCCCTGCTGATGCTCCTCTTTCTTGTCAATATAGAAGGAATCAGGGGGTTCGATCCATGGGCTTTTCACTCGGAATTTTTTCAGTATCACAGTGATAGGGCAATAATGAAAGAGTCATTGAAAGAGGCAAGACAAACATGTTAAGAGCCTCCTTGTTCCCCCCTTTTAAATCTTTTTAGTACAGAGAAAGGAAGAAGAAATCAGGGAAGGACTTCCTGCCAAACCAGAGAAGACTGCTCATCAAGGGATGCTGATTTCTCTAGCATCAGTGGGGAGTTATCCACTGTGGGGATTAAGACGCCAGTGCCCTTTAACTCAAAGGATGGGAGACTACCCCTCAAATAACGGGGTCAGCTGAGGATCCATCCAACTCAGAAGAAGGAGACAACTACAAGAAGCCACTCCTTTCTATAGTACACAGTGCTGTGTATTCAGGTTAATCCTCCAATGATATAGTTATTCTCCATGGTTAATGAATAGCTTCTAAGTGCCTGCTTCATTTAATTGTCCAAAGGCCAGTTGGTCCCAAAGTGTATAAAGCTACGAGCTGGCTAATGAGAGCATTCTCTCTGAGGAAGGGAAGCCAGGGAGTGGCTGGGTTCCAAAGGCGCAGTGATGTGGAACAGAACCAGCACAGTTCTCTGTGCCTTTGCCCTCCTGACAGGCTTCCTGACGGTCTGTCTGGGGGCCTTCTTCATGTCCTTGGGCTCCAGCATCAGCTGTCAGAGGAACCTGATCCTGGCCTATGTGCTTCTGCCTCTGGGGTTTGTGATCCTTCTGGGTGGAATTTTCTGGAGCACCTACCGCCAGGCAAGTGGAAACAAAGGGATGTTCAGCCACGTGCTCAGACAACACCTTGCTCATGGGCCTGAGATCCTGGCCACAGTGGACAGGTATGTGCTGAGAAGCCAGAAGACTGATGAGGGCTGACATGGGGCTGAGTTCTGGCAAAGCTGAGTGACTTCTAACCCCACTGTGGAGCAATCACCCATCTCACGGGGCTGCATGTCTACAACCAAAGCTTTACCCTCTGGCAGTTACTCCGGGGTTAGTGGTTAGGAGCTATGGCACTGCCTCTGGGGAAAACCATGAAGTAAAGGAAATTTGTCTCAGAGGCTCCCTTCCCCGCTCCCCAGCCCCCCGCCTGCCACACACACACACACACACACACACACACACACACACACACACACACACACTGAAAACCCACCTGAGCCAAAATAAGAGGCCCAGCTCTAAGGTTGTCTTGTTGTATCATGGGAACTCTCCTTAGAGGCTGCTCATGGTTGGTTATTCCTGAGTCCAGCTGCAAGGTTATAAGAAAAGCAAGTTCAGAACCAAATTCTGCCCCACAACAAAGGAGCAAGCAGGCACAAAACCAGCCCTGCAACCTCTTTATGAGCTCAGTGAAGTCCCAGCTTTCAGGTATCTTTTTAGGTATTTTGATCATACAACACATGAAAGATTCATCTGAGGCAAAGCAATAATCCAGAGGTGAGATTCAGTTGATCTTGCCACATTGTACCTAGTAGGATGGCAATTATTTCAAACAAACAAACAAACAGGAAACAAGTATTAGCAAGGATGTGGAGAAGTTGGAAACTTAGTGCATTGCTGGTAGGAATAAAAAATGGTGCAGCCACTATGGAAAATGACATGGGGGTTCCTCAAAATATTAAACGCATAGTCACTCTGTGATCTAGCAATTCTGCCTCTGGGTATTAGACAAAAGAATTGAAAGCACAGACTTGAATAGATGTTTGTACACCAACAGTCATGGCAGCATTCTCCACAATACCAAAGAGTGGAAATGACCATTAGTCCAAAGGGACACACACATGCAATGGAATATGTTTCGGCCTTAAGAAGTAAAGACATTCTGACTTATGCTACAACATGATGAGCCTTGAAGACATTATGCTACGTGAAATAAACCAGACACAAAAAGACAAATGTGTATATGACTCAACTTATATGAGGTACATAGAGTAGTTAAATCATAGAAAGTAGAACGCTGGTTACCAGGGGCAAGAGGCCGGGGGAGGGGGTGCAGTTGTTTATGGTCACAGGGGCTCAGGTCAGGAGGAGAACAGTGTGATGGTCACCCAACAGTGTGCATGTACTCAGCGTTGCCAAACTGCCCACTCGGCCAGTGTGGTAAATCTCATGTTATGTGTACTTTACCACATTAAAAAATATCAGTTAACCTTATTGTTCGTATCAGACAACCAAAAGCCTCCTCATTCTTCGTTGAAACAGGACCATTTAGGGATAAACATCAGGTATCATCCTTCAGGTACAGGCTGCAAGACTCCACAAATTCTTTTACCTTCTTTATCTAAAATATTTTAGCTACTCTGTGAATTTTGTAATTTTACCCATGACTTGATTTTTGACATTATTATGCTAGTGATGTGAATTATAATAACGCCAAGTCATTTCCAATGTTTATTATACTTTTTAGCAAGGTCTCTGCATTTGGTAAAAATTAAGATAACTAAAGTGATTGTAGAAGATTTTTCAGAGTGCTGATTTTATTTTGTATAAATGTTAGATGATCGCCTCCAGAGTGTGAATTCCTGAGAAGTGTAACTGATTACCTTTCAGGCTTAAAGTTTCTAACACACATGTAACACAAAGCATCACACTGTGCAGAAACGCTTTAAAGTAAATTGTGGACATCGTGATGCCCCCTTTTATTGTCTCTTCCTGCTGCATCTGATAGACCCCGGCCCATTCGACATGGCTCCCACGTCAGTCCAAAGTTGCATTTCTCAGAAGCATTAGCATTCCAAATGGGTTCCCAAGTTGAGGTATAAAGCAAATGGGTCTGCAAGGATAGACTGCAGGGCAGTGGGCACTGGGAACCGGAACTGCTTTGCGGGAGGTGGGCGGTGTTGTGAGAGGTGAAGGAGATTTGCGGGGCAGGCGGCAGTCATCCTGGAGCCTCTCATGTTACTCTAGGGGACAGCTCACCTTTCTGTCATCAGTGTCTTCACACCTGTGCCCCACGACACAGCCAGAGCTATTTTGAGTGAAGGCTGAGATTGGGGCTGTACAGTAGACAGCAGCTTCAGCCTTTTGGCTTTGGTCCTGGTCACATTTGGAAGGGCGCTGTGGCACAAGTTGCAGCGCCTGTTCTGTTGTGGTTACATACCACAAACACTCCCTGTAGGCACTGGAAGAATTCACTCTATAAATACACAACTCAACCAAGTTCACCCTCTCTCTTCCTCACCCTCCCCCCGCCACACCCAACCCTAGTCATAATGGAGAAGCCGGAAAGATTTAGCGATTAGCCACACCAGGCAAGAGTACCGATGTGTACATCAGCTCTGGCATGAAGGGCTCTGTCAGCCGTTGGCCTGATGGCCTGGTAAAGGCTGCAGCTGCAATCTACATCAAGTTCTCAGTTGAAACCGCTTGGGAAATGAGTATGGGTTGTCGTGGATTTTGTCTGTTTTTGTTTTTTTTTTTACTAGCTGTCAAGACTTGAAAAAGTGATGGGAAAGAGAGCAGCATCTGCTGTAGTTCAGAGAACTGCACAGAGCTGGTTTTCATTCATTATTTTGTTGGCTGGTGGACCTGAGATGGTGATTGCAGCCGAGTAGAAGATGATGTGTGTGAATGGGGACGAGGGTGTGAATGGACTAAGTAACTGGGTAGGGAATTCCACGGTCAAGGCCCGCGTGTCCCCTACCTCTGCTGAGGATCTCACACTGAAAGTCCCTGGTACCAATGAGGAAGAGAGGGCTAGCTCAGAATAACCCTGGGAAAAGTATGACAGCAGAGACCCACATTTCACTGCTGATAAACAGGGCTCTGCTGGAAGAGGGGCATTTTTTTTTAAACTGGTGATGCCTGAGAAGAAATACATCTGTTCCAAAATCAATGTTTAACAGTTTAACTTTGCTCAGTGTGATTCGAGAGAGGCAGACATATGCCTCTTTGGCATGAACCACTTAAATAACACATGTGTTTGCGGCATTTTCTCCCCCAGGCCAGATTTTTACCCTCCTGCTTATGAAGAAGGTCTTGCTGCTGAAAAGCAATCCTATTCTGCAGAGCAGGAGGCCATGGATATTCCTCCACCTCTGTACACAGAGAGAGACCTTGAATTTGAGGATGAAAATGATGCTCACCGTGAGGCGCCCCCATCCTATGACAACTCCGTGGTGGACAGGGCAGCGGCAGCAACACCGACGCAGGACACCGAGAGGCAAAGTCGGGAGTGCTGAGGCAGGGGGAAGGTCTGCACTACGCATGACGCACCCTCAGGAGATACAGCTGCTAACAATAAAAGCAGGCGAGGGACTGTGGGAGGAAAAGCCAGGTCAAAAACCCTGCATGAGAGCTCCCCAAGGAAATCATGACTCTGTAAGAAATGTTGCCGGCTTTATTATATTTAACATTTAATTCCAAGAGGAGAAGTTGGAATGGCAGGGTGGTGGCAAGAGACACAGCCTGATGCTTTAGAGCTGGGACAAGAGACTGCATCTCTCTGGGCCTCAGTTTCCTCTTCTATTGAGTGAAGAATTTATGCTGGGGTTAATACCTAACCATTGTGGAATGCTTTTTATATGGCAGCCTACATACTATGAACTCTGCTTTTTATTTAGCTCTCATTATAACCTTCAGAGATGGGTGCAATGGTTGTTCCCATTCTACAGATGCATACACTGAGGCTTTGACAAGTTAAGACTTTCCAATAACATGCAGTTGTTTTCGGGAGGATGGAGGGGGGTCTGTAGAGGGGCATGGGGGGATATATTCACTTCCAATTTTTGTGCTGGGTTAACCCTGTCTTACTTCCCTCCTCACAGGGAGCAGCTTGGCCTTCCTTCCCTCTTCAGAAAATGGGCCCCAACAGGATGGAGCCCAGGGTTGCTGCAAGAGTTAAAGGCAGCAGAGGTTGCTTTAGGGTTTGTCTGCTAGATTCTTTTTTAAAATGTAAATAAGGCCTCCAGGTTTTTTGCCCTGGAGCTTGGCCCTCACCTATGGGTAGAGTTTCCTTTCCTCTGATGTTCCACTGATGATGAAAGATGGTCCCTAGCAGTCACAGGCAGCTGTTGGTGACTGGGCACCAACACACAGGAGGGGCTTTGGGTCCCGATGGGAAGGATGAAGAGCTCCCCAGAAGGAAGGGGGTTACTGAGATGGGATGGGGCCCCAAGGCCTTCTCTTCCCCGTTAGGGCTGAAGGCGCAGATGAAGCGGGTCCTGATGAATACACAGAAAGCCACGTAAAAGGAAATCCTGGTCCCTTTACAGAAGCATGAACTTGGGCATCTGGGATTTAAATCCTCGATGTCAGGGGTGTAAGTGGGCACGCAGGTCACTCGAGGTTGTCCGACAGGGAGGTGATTGTCTGTTAGCTATGCAGCTTGTTACTTCTCTTTAATCATCTCTTTCCGTCCCTCCATTGAGACACTGTCTGGAAACTTCCCGGGCTGAGCTAAGCGTCTTCAAGGCCTGAACTGCTCCAACCCCGGGCTTTCACCCAGAGTTTGCATTGGTTACGGATGGTTTTTCCAACTACTGGGAGGCACGTGAAACAAATGTTAATTTTGGTTTACATAAGAAAATTGTTTTAATATCCTTCTGCAATAAATTTTTTACTTAAATTTTCCCTTTTTTGCCATTGGTTATCAGAAAAAAAAAATCCATAGAGGAACAGAAGTCAAAGTTTCATTCTCTGTGTGCAACTAACGCAGCATCCAAATGAGTTCATTGTTTTGTAAAATCAAACATTACTGACCAAAAACTATTGATTCAGAAAATTAGCCAGGTGCTTTTTGACAAGGAATACTAATTCACTGATTTTTTTTTTTAAGCACACATACTCTGAAGCAAGCATCAAGAATGTGGGTATCATCCAAAGCACATCCTACCTGTGGCAGGCCCAGTAATTAAAGCCCCCTGGGCAAGTCAGACAAAAGGCTTCTGTGTGGTTGCTCAGAACTCACTGGCCACCCCTGGGGGATTTGCTCAGGGGAAGTAGACACTGTATCCCCCTTTCCTCCTGAAGATTATGATAAAATTAATGGTGATGGACTGAGAACCATGATTCCAGAGTGACAGGGAGGGTGTTTAGATAGTGAGAAGGCAGAAAAGAGGCAGACCTCCAAGCAGAGTGTCTCTGCTTGTTCCCTCTTCTCAGATGAGAGTGGCAGACTCGCGTGTCAGTGGGAAAGGGAAATATTCAGATGCAATGGCTCCCCAGTATTTTAATCTTATATCACCCTTCTGAACAGCAAGTTTAAGTGCCCTTCCCCGAAGATGAGCATGGTAAGGTCGATTATAGAATAGTTTATGCTGCAAGTATTTTGCATACCTGAGATGCAGTATGGGTATTTTTAAGCCCTCCACACAAAAACTCACAAGTTCTTTTACTAACAATCTTATCCATCTTTCAGGATACTACTTACACACATAGCATTTGGGGATGTATCTCCCCAGTTCATCTGTATTGCAGGGCACACGTTAGGTGCTAAAAGACATAAAACTCAAATAAAAATACAGGTTTATAATGCATCTCTGCAGTGTATTCTATAATTTCCATGACAAGTTCAGCTGATCCACATACCAAGTGCACTGTCAAGTGCATGGGCCATTTCCTCTGATAAAGACTGCAGCTGGCTGGAGTGGAGCAGGCATTCTGCTAAGCTCCAACGCCTCGGATAATCTCTTGCTGTTTGTAACTGTTGAAGGGCCAAAGACTGATTTACTGGCAGTTACATCATTTCCAAAGGTACACGGTTTCTCAGACCCTTCTCGACTCAGGAATGGGAATGTCCTCCAGGCAGGTGTCCTCATGCTTCGAGAACACCCAGTGCATGACAAGGCGATAAAAGAGGGTCACCTGTGATGTTACTACCATTTCCCCCAGGTGCTTTCCCCATTCCCCTGACCTGCTGTGGCCAATGGATACTGCTGCCACAGTGCCTCACACTGACCCACAGCTGCCCAGCGAGAAGTCGTCACACCACTATCCATGTCATTGCCTGTTTTATCTGCAGAGGACACTGGCCCAGTGCAACCAGCTGTCAGCTCCATGTGCCACCTGGGCCTGGCCATCAATCTGAGGCTTCCTGTGCAGGAAGCACTCATGTTGTGTCTGGGCCCTTCAGCCTGCAGTGCTATGCAACTGTTTGTTCCATGAATGCCAGGGATATATTTCAGTAATGACTGCCTGCCCACTTTCAAGGTCAGCTAATAAACTCAAGAATCATGGATGGGGCAAAAAAACTATTTGTTCTAGGGAACTGGCACCTGGCAGGATGTTTAGCATCCACGGTCCCCTCCCACTAAAGCCTTCCCTGGCACATACACACACATTTCCAAATACCCTCTGTGTGGGTGGTGATGCTGGCCTGGTGGGAACCACAGTGTTGTACACATATTGTTGCTGTCGTTGGTCTGGAGGGGGGGCACAGGGCTATAAGTGGACCCTCAATATTAGCTGATTACCAGAGTGGCCCTGACACTCGCCACATTTTATCCATAGTTTCTCCTATGATGGTTTCCTGTGGTCCCCACAAATCTCTTGGATTTCTCCAGTCATTCACTCCTAAGAAAAACTGGTAGCTGGAGCTCCATCTTTAAGAACACAATGAACATTAAGTGCAGAAGAGTGACTTCCTGTCTTTCACCTCTCTGAGGATAAGGCGAGAGGGCAGGAATGTATAACTCAGCAAGGGAAGCCCAGCTGTCGTGTCAAGCAGACAGCATACCTTGGCAATGTGAGTGTGAGCAAGTTCCAGGGAGAGGCCGTGTCCTAGAGCCGCTCTGCAAAAATAGAGGTCTGTGCAGCTGCTGCTTTCCTTCCGTCACTGGGCCCAGCATCGGCTCTCCCTATTTTTGACGCTGTGTTCGCTCCAGGCCCACTCATCCAAGCCAGCCGCTCTCTGGGCCCACAGCAAGCCCTCCTACCCCTCAACTCCTAGTCTTTGTTCTCACTGCAGTTGGCCCTGGAGAAATTACATACATGGTTACAAGTCCCGGGAAACTCTTCTCTTTGGGAAACTGCTCAGGTGCTTCTGTCCCGCCGTCTCTGAGTCAAACTCGCTGTGCACTTCCACAGAACGTGGCTTGTGCCTCTGTGGTAGCATTCTCGTCTACCCGATTCTTTGTGTGTTCTTGTCATCGCTTCCTGTTTCCAAAGTACGAACTCCTAGGAGCAGGGATAATGTTCGCTACATCGCCTCCCTGCACCAAAACCAGGATTCTGCAGAGAGTTGTCCAGCCAGTGTTTGCTGAATGAATGAGTGTTCACTGGGCTGCTGGACACACACAACTCTGTACAGAAATAAAGAGGCGGAGTTTTTAAATGAGGATTAATTCACATTTGGACATGGAAGGTTCAAAATGGTTAAAAGTTCAGCAACTTAAGAAAAAAATAAATATTTTCTTACCTAGAGCCAAGAAAGAATGTGTCTAATGGTGCCGACCAACTCAGAGCCGAGGCGTGGCTGGGAGGCCGCTGGGGACCTGCACTTCACCGCGCAGGGGACCTGGAGGCAGCTGGCAAACCGTATTCCATTGCTGATAAATGTCATAACCAGTTCTTTAGAGTCTTAGCTCAAAGTCAGCCTCCTATGATTTCGAAGGGACGATACTCACAATGAAAGACTAAATGCCACTTCAGTTCCTGCTATGAGCAATTTTTCTGTTCCATTTATTTAAAACATTCCTAAGGTCACGATGATGAAAACCAGCCCTTGCTAGTGTTCTGAAAGGCAGCCTTATGGGGACAGTGACTGATCCTGGAGTTTCTCAAAGGGCAAGGCAAATAAATAAGCAAAATGCCACAATCTTTGCATAAGGATGAAATAAGGAATTTCTTTTTTATTGGATACTAAATGTCCTAGCACGTTTCTGACAGAAGCATGGATAGAAAAATGGAAACAGACACCTTGTGGGGGATGTTTCGATGCTTGCACTAATCTTGACCACAGCAATAACAAACTGCTCAACAGTCAGAGCACGCCACGTCATCTGTGCAAATGACACAAGTGAGAGTGCTGTTCCCAAGGAAGCAAAACATACGCAAACAGGTCCCACGCACCCAGCGTCCTGGCAGAGTCCGAGGGCGGCTGCTAAAGCTGCAATATCCTTGTCTCTGGCAAAGAAAGCCTGCCGTGACCCTCTGCTGCCAGCAGGGGTCCCCACTCTGCCCATATCTGTAGTCCCAGCAAGGTTTTCCTCCAGTGCCCACTTCATGTCCTACTGTTACAGCATTTCATTGTCTCCTTTTACAGCCTTTGTAGGTGAGAGCTGAACTGTGTCCAAACAAGTGCATTAAAACAGGCCTTTATTGGGAGATGAGATAGCAGAGAGAAAGAGAAATAGCAGACATGGTGACATTTTGTCTCCCCGGGGGGAATGAGTATAAGCCATGTGTCACCCTCGGTGATGGAATCAAGGAAGGGTCGGAAACATGTGGAGTGTCCGTTTGCGAGGTCCTGCCAAGAAAATGTTTCCCACCTGCATATGAATGGCTGAATTTGAAGGGATGCAGCCAGATTCATAGCTAAACTGGTATTTACAAAATAAGAGAGGAAAACGCCCTTCGATGGGTTTCGTTAAAAGCGTGCCTTTGTGCTTTGTAGACAGCTCTAGAAGATGGGAGGGGGGGTGGCATGGGGACCCGGAGATGGGGAGGTGGGACAGCGGGCCGTCGGGGGTCGGCGGGCTTGAGGCGGGCTCTTAGGAGTTCTACAAATTTCCTAATGGAAAACCTGACCTTGGACGTAAAGTCGAATCCTCCTAGGTGCCCAGGAGTGTCTTCTTAGGTCTGCCAAGGCACCTGTGGCTTCGGTCTGCTGGACTCCGGCACTGGACTCTCCTCCAGTCTATTTCAGAACCTTCTCCGAGCGGGACCAACGATGCCCAGGTGTCATGACTAACAGTTTCCTAGCCCACGGACCCTTCCTCAAAAGGGGAGTTTCCTTTGTGTGATAATATAGTAACACGTGACAGTGCAGCTTTAACAGACAACTGAAGACCCTATTGCATTGGGAAGAACTGACCAACAGCCAAATAAAAACAGATGTTTTTCTTTTCCCACCCACTCCCCCTACCCCACCAGCAAATTAGCTTTCGCGCTTCCCTTCCCCCCAAAGTCATAAGAGGCACAAACAGGTAGCAAGAAGGTGTGGGTGATGTGTCTCCTGCCGAGCGCTCTCCTTTGGCCCTGGTGAGGGGTCCTTCCTTCCTTCCTTCCTTCAGGTGATGACGGTGGGACCCCTCCGGCCGGTCCGCTCGTGAATCTGGGATATTTTCAGTGCGATGGCTATGAGCGGGCTCAGCACTGCCTGAAAAGGGAGGAAGAAGGTCTGTGAACAACTCCAGTCAGTCATCGGAGGGCCACTGCAATGGACTTTGCTATCGAACATCTGGATTCCATTCCGATGTGCACCTGACAGGCTGGACCATCATGGGCAGGACACCTGTTCTCCGGCCTGGGTCTCCTATTTCACACAAGGAGACCGAGTGGGCAGGGCGAGGGGAGGAGGAGGGGAAGGCAGTCCCCAGAGTCCCCTCTAACTCCCAGACGCTTTGATCGAAGGTAGGAAACTGCACAACCCAACTGCCAGAGCACTGGAGTGTTTCACGGATGCAGCTTT